CCTGCTAAGAGAGCCATAAGTAGGGTTCAGAAGGGTCTCCTTTAAAGGGGTCTCCCTAGTACTACCTAGGAGAAAGTTATATAGCAAGGGCTCTTTTCAGAGGAAGAAAAGGGGTTTAATTTGGGGCGTTTGGGTTTAGGGCTCTAGAATAGAAGTTTTATATAGCAACGGTTCATTTATGGTTTGATAATCGCTCTATAACTAAGGGCTGGGCGGTTTGGGGGTTTATATGGGTACTCAAGAGGGTCTTCGGACTGTTGCTGGGGTTCATGGTGTTTTATGCATGGTTCAGGAGGCACGCATGTGGGCCTTGGAGGGTTCAAGGGTTGCTTAATTAAGGGTTCGGGAGTCTATGCCCGGGTTTAGGGTTTGGGATCGACCTACCACTCGGTCCATATCATCTGGAAACGCTGCGAACAGCAACGGCACAATGGCCGCATATAACACTGCAAATGTCTCGGTCACGCCAATCTGCCCAAAACCGCTTGCTTTCCTTTCAGCACCAGCCAGCATGGAGCGAACCACTAGGTTATTGAAGCGTGACTCGAACGCCTGGCTTGTTCCTCGATTGGCAAGTGAATGCAGGCGATGCGGCTCGCTCGAATTGAGCAGCTCGTCCGTCAGGATAGGCGGCACCGATCTTTGTTGCAGCATCGAATACCTGCTGATGATGATACGCGACTGCTACAAGGGTGCTTGGAGGGTCCTGCTAAGCCCTAGCCAGCATGAACCCTGAACCCCTAACATCCATCCCCGGCATGTTGCCTTATCTAGCTTTCGACTTACAGCCGAAAACAACTCCACCCTAAAGCCCAAACCGCTGCGCCTCAAACATAGCAGACCGAAGAATCAGACTGGGTTTCTTTCGGGGATGTTATCCGACTTACGGAACTCCAAGGAAGATAATTGTAGAATCCTTGTGGAACCGTGTGCAAAATTCCTATGCTTGAAATATATAATATATAACTACCCATGATATACAGCCCTCCCAAAACCCCCAACCCTAATCCGACACCCTAAACCCCAAACCCGAAATCCTAACCCCCTTCATCGGTTTAGGGTTTAGGTCCTAAACCCTAAACCCCGACCCCTACATCCTACACCCTAAACTTTAAACCCTAAACCCCAAATCCTACCAGCGCAGACCAAAAGTAACGATCCCTCGACAAAGGCCTTCTCGGCTTCCGCCAGCGCGTGCAGGGCCGTCGTAGTGTGAGCAGCGCTCCTCTCAATTAGGGTTTATGGGGTTTAGGGTTCAGGATCTAGGATTAGGGTCTAGGATGTAGACTTTAGGATTTAGGATTTAGGGTCTACGTTTAAAGGTTTAGGGTCCGGCAGATTTGGGGTTTTGAATCCCCCCCCCTCCCCAAAGATTGGGGCTCCAGTGGTGGAATAGACCACTATATATAGGAGCATAAACAGGGTTTGGAGGGTAGTAGTTTATACGACTCAAAGCGATGATAGAAATATCCACTGATCAGACCGTAAGCCTTATAAGCCCTAAACCTTAAACCCCTTGTGACCGTCGTTAACTCTGCCGAAGATCGACGTTCAACAGCGGCCGAAAACACAAAACCTTGCAGACACATGGGTAGCTTTCTAAATCAGCGCGCCGTCTTTTTGGGTTTAAACGGACCCTCGTTTAGAGAAGTACCCACTCGCCAAGACACTCCAAAACCTCGTCATTAAGGACGGAGGATTAAGTAAACCTGGATCCCAAACCTTAAACCCTAAACCGACCGAGGATCCCCCGTATAAAGTATGGTATATGGCTCGGGCATGCTGTCGCAGTTCCTGGGTAGAGTCCGGTGTTGGGTTTAGGGCTTTTTGGGCTTAGGGTTCTGGGTTTTAGTCCGTACTTAACGGGGCTCTCAACGATGTGCTATAAGCCCTCATAACACCCTATTCCAGTGATCCGCATGCCCAAACCAACAAAGGAAAGTCTGGTAACCCAAACCCAAGAAGCCCTAAATATCCCATACTAAAAGCCCTAAAACCGAAGCACCGAAAAACCGCCTAACTAGCCCCCCTGAAGTGAACAAAGGGACTCCAAAACCCGAAAAAACGGTAGAGCCTCACCCAAAACCCTGAACCCTAAACCCTAAAGACCCAAAACCTGAACCCTAAACCCTAAACCCTAAAACCCTAGAACCCTAAACCCTAATCTCTGAACCCTAGACCCTAAACCCTGAACCCTAAACCCCTAAACCCTATAAGCCCTATAAACCCCAAAACCATCTAAAACCTGCAGCCTGTCCTGCATCAACCGCACGCTGCGCTCAGGCTTGGAGCGGTGGGGGAGCGACCTCGGCTTAGGGCTTGTAGGGTTTATTTAGGGTTTAGGGTTTAGGGCTTGTAGGGTTTGGGGTTTGCAAGGGTTTGTAAGGGTTTGCAAGGGTTTAGGGTTTTTAGGCTTTAAAGTTTTAATTTCCGTGCGTAGTTGGGCTTTTAGGGATTCGGCTTTAGGGAGTAGGGGTTTAGGGAATGAGGGATTATGCGCTGAATTAGGGGGTGAGCGGTTTAGGCTTTTAGTAGGAAGCCCTAAGCCCTAAGCCCTAATGTAGGCTTCCGAACAACTCGGGCCGTGCAAATTTTTAGCACTCTGAGGGGGGTTTAGCAGGAATTCGGGATTTAGAGCGTCAGGGATAAGGAGGTTTCGCGATGTAGAGTTTTTTGGGGTTAGTTTAGGGTTTCGGGTTGAGGAGTTTACCGTTTTGGGGGCTTTCAAGATCGGGGGGATACCTGTGACCATACAGGCGAAACGGGAGAGGCAAGTAGAGAAAGGAGGCTGCACGTTGGGGTTGACATGAATTAAGGACCCCCACGTCTGAAAACCCCCATGTTGGTGTTGAGGCTTTGGATGCCAAGGTTTAGATATTTACAGTGTAGAGTTTGGGAGTTAGGTCTTACAGACCCTAAACCCCTAACCTCAAAACTTTTGGTTTGGGAATTCCTTTGTTTCCGGAGCTCGTACGGCTTATGCCTGCTCTTAGGATGTGCTGGAAGCAAGCCATATGGGGGCTTCTCCCCTTCCGATAGCAGAGGACTGCCTTCGCCTCGTTGGCAGTATCAGTTTTTTGGGGCCCCGAATAACCCGAAGTAGGTACTGTTGATGATAGAAATCCTGCATTACCCTAAGGACCGTAAACTATGGGAATTATGGTAAATTCCGTAGTGCAGGATTTATATCAAACACCGTTGCACTTATAATAGACTTTAGACCCCGAAGTAGGTACAAGTACTGTTTGTATATTACATTGTTGGTGAACTCGTACCCGTAAAGGTTGATAGCGGGTAACCCGGCCGGAATGTCGAGATCGACGTGAATGACATGATGATCCCACTCTAGCCCTGCCTCGGTTGCGGTGCTTCATGCCGAGAGCATCAAAGAGCTACATCCCTCCAGAGCTCTTTCTCCCGATGTAGCTTCTGAGGTTGAGCTTAGGGTTGAGGTTGAAGGCCACAAAAAGTTGCAGGTAATCCCTATAGAACCCGCGAAAACCCTGAACCCCAACACCCTAAATGTTGAGTCTCTAGGATAAGTGGCTCCTGCCCAGCCAGGCTCCAGGTAGGTGCCATGCAGCGACAACCACGGAGCTTGAAAATCCGTTGTCGACGGTGTAACGAGTCTCTCGTTTCTCGCAACGGGTTTTTCTGCCCTGAGTTATTTTTATCAAGAGCCAAAAGGCCTGGGGTTGAGTGAGATGTTTATCCGAAATTAATCAGCGGAAGTGGCTAGCAGCTAGCAGAGACCAGCGGCCCGGAACTAATCCTTACGAAGTCAGACGTCATACATCCCAATAGCCCTGAACCCATCCAACGACGAAAACCGACACTCCATCGTCATGGGCTGCCCCAAGCCCCGCAACCTTCTGCAACTTCGGTTAAAGGCTTAGGGCTTAAGGTTTGGGATTCTGAACTACAGGTGTACGGCTAGGAGCGTACATCCGAATCAGGCGACATTTTTTCTTCGCGGAAGCATAGAACACAAGCGTCCCTGACCACTACACGTCCCCCCACATCTCCGAAGGCCCCGGCCAGGATCTATCCTGCGAGCCCCCAAGCTGGATGGGATCGTGCAGGACCATCTGTTGGACCTTATCCACGCTTCCGTGTCGCCCTTGTGAGGGCAAGGGTGTTCGATCTCAGTCTTTGGCATTGGTATCAACATGTCATCATAAAGCCTCCTAGACTCCCCGAAGAAAGGCGTAGGGGCGTGGGCGGAGCCGAGAGGGGATTCGAGTTTGGGGGTTGGATTCGCAGGCCGAGGGTTGGACAGAGCTGGTGAGGCTGGCTTGGAGTGGTGATCATGGCGGATAACCCTGAACTGATGTAGCCTCGGTTGGTTCGCCAGGAGATGACCATGCCACACTGCTGTCGACCTTTGGACGCCTGCAGCTTTCATAAGGGTACCGTTGAGGTACGGCATCAGATTGCATTCACCAAAGAATGCATCTCTGAAGCTGAACTGTACCGTCGACTAGAGAGCTGCTTGTCAGCTCTTAAAACATCGCAGGGGAGCTTCCGAAACTTGGACACCCAGACATTATCACTGTGAAGAACGCTCTTTAGGGTTTAGGGTTTAGGGTTTATAAGTGAAGAACGTGCTTTGGGTACTTGAAAGTCTCATTCACACATACAAAGACACATACTGCCAGGTCGCGGGTCCGATATTCGGAAACTAACACCTCACCTGTCATTATGGTATCCAGCTTCGGTGGGCCCTGGGGCTACTGTAGGGGCCTAAATATATACCAATACTATTTGGAAGGGGTTCTTTGTCATAACTTTTGTATATTGGGCCCTTCAAACCCTAGTCTAATTATCAAGGCTCCTGTATTACTCAGATGGGACCCGCTCCTGGGTTCAAGGGATTGCACGCATGGTAGGGATTCAGGCATGAGGCATGCACTTTCAGTGCGGCTCAGGGACCACACCACCGTCACTCATGTCCTCAACTTGGAAATGTGCCTTTCAAGCACGATGCGACGCCTTGGGCCTTAGGCACAAAAGCCAATGTCGTCAGAAGCTGGAGTCGTACACGGTGGAAAGACAACGCCACACATAAGAGCGAATCCGAATATCCCCAAGTACTCCGCGAGGAGCCACAGCTGCCACGGCCAAGACTTCCAGATAGGAGCTTCGCGCAGAACAGACTGTGTCAGAGGGCAGAGAATTGCCACCAGGGGCACAATTGTCGTGTGCGCTGACAGTTTGCGGCTCAAGCTGTTCTTCAAGCCGCAATCCGCAAAAGCAGGATTAGCACGGTGGAACATCGTGAAGTACCAAGCTGAAATATATAGAAGAAAGAACACATGAAAATTTCTCTCCACATTTCGCACGCAGTCATCGTCACCTGCTTGCAGACACTGGTATCCACTCTCTGCAAAGTACAAGGCCACGGCACTCACAGAAAGCCAGGTCCAAGTAGCTCGATCAATGGACGTTTCATCAAACCTGTCATACACTGTGAGGATAGCTGGGAGCTTAAATCTGACCAGTGTAAAATAGCAGACCACTCCCAGAATGCAGCTGACTATGGCTGCCAGGAAGTCATGATCATGCTTCAGCTCGCCGACTGCCAGCATAAGGAACAAAGACGGATACCAAACCCTGTTCAGATGGTATTCTAACTTTGGCCAGACGTGGTGTAAGAAAACGCTACACGCCAATCCACAAGAGGGCTTCAATTCGGAGAGCCTCCTATAGTAAGCTTGACTCAAGCTGGCCAAATCCATGAAGGCCACGCATGGGGGCATGGCCAATCGTGTGGCATAGCGTTTGTTGATGCCGGCGCCGAAGACCCACAAGGTCAACAACATTGCATGAACCCCTACAGCGAGTAAACCTGCAAAGGGAAACCAATACAACCGGAATGTATCACAGGCACTGAGGGAATTAGATTCGAGACACGGTGGGCTCTGCGGACCGTGAGGGTGGTACATATCGTCTTCAACGCCGAGTAGCTGTGCCGTCTCTGGAAAACCACGAGGGCTGCGATTTGGAAAGTCTTCATCACGCTGTCCAAGCACTGGTTCATCGTCCCCTGCACGCGACCGTACCCAAGGGCGCTGGCATTTCACGCGCTTTTCAACTTCGTGGAAAATCTGCAAAATCGGTTTTCTGTATGGTAGCAGGCGGAGTACTTCCTGCGTGAGCACACCACCATTCTGGAAATCCCCTGCCCCACGTCCGGGATCACAGGCAAGAATAATGTAGAAATCGTGTTTCAGACTCGGCAGTTTCTGACGCCTGTTGATCGTAACCGGAGTAGCCGGACCCTTCGATTGAAAGCGGCAGCAATCTAGCACCATGATTACCCGCAACTTGCGGTGCTTCTCCGCCCGAAGTTCGTTCAATTTTGTGATGAGATTTTTGGTATCGACGAGCGTGTCGACACTGTCTGGCTCGGAGTCTGATGCAACCAAATGAGGCAAAGCATCTTCGTGTACCTGGAGCCCATGACCAGAATGCCAAAAGACAAGGATTGGGTTCTTCCCAGCTGACAGGGCCAACTTACCCTTCTGGACCAGTTCTTCCAAAGCGTGTACAAAGTCTTGCTTGAGAACGCAATCTTGTGCAGCGAGCTCTGACAGATTAAACCCAAGATGTCGCAACGTGCTTCTGACGTTGCCACGGTCTTTGGAAGCGGCAACCAGTCTTGGCATGTGTCCATACTCTGCAATACCAGTGACCAGTGCAAATTTATTCCCATCTGGCGATGGGGAGACCATCCTGCAAACTGACAAGATCCCTAAATCCTAAAACCTAAACCCTAAAACCCTAAACCTAATTACAGGAACGTGAGCCGGAGGGCAGCAGAAGAACAGTTTGGTTCAAGTCGCTTCGTCGACTAACGGCGGAGCACGCGCAGTGCTGTGCGATTGTTGGAGTGATCTGCAATACTCCGCAGCATCACAAACTGACCTGGCCCAGGCTACAGTAGTGTACCACTCACAGCTACATGATCTACCTCACGCAAGAGACTAATCCAGGGAGCTCAAACACAAAATCATGAGCTGATCGAGTCGACGGAAGTCGGACGCCAGAATAAGTCGAAGAAGGGATTACCTGGACCCTGGAGGTGTGTAGAATAATGGCCGTTTATGGAGGTGACCCTGGAGGTGTACAGAATAATGGCCGTTTATGGGTGATGGGCTCCCAGTTTGCCATACTCCCCGAGGGTTCGGGTTTATGGAACCTTCTTGAGCCCTCAAACCCTGCTACCCGTGACTGGGTGTGCGCACATCCGGTGTGGAGGCCAGTGGCATGAAAGCCTGGCACGACAGGGCAGGGTTTAGGGTTTAGGGCCCTAAACCCTAAACTCTAAACCCTGGCAAGACAGGGCAGGGTTTAGGGTGGAGGGTTTCTGAAACCATGAGAAGGTTGGACCTGAAACCTGAAGCCCTACAGCACCCAAAAGCTACAGCCCTAACCCCTAAATCCTAAACCCTAAATGCTAAACCCCCCGTCACCCTCACCCCAAGCCTTTGGGGGAGTTGTGAGGATCCAGGGTCAGGCTCAAGCTTCGGAGATCTACTGAAGAGCTACTGCTGCTAGTTAGATAGATAGAGAGATATAGATGGATAGATAGATAGATAGATAGATAGATAGATAGACAGATAGATAGACACATGGATGGATCGACAGATGGATGGATAGATAGAGCGAGAGTGAGAGCGAGAGAGAGCGAGAGAGTCAGGTTGTTTTCAGACATGTGCTTTGACATCTACTATGTTTAACTACAGTTCTGCATGTGTGCATGCACATATATATATATATATGTTGTGTATATATATATGTATATGTATATATATATACTTATATATATATACACATAAACATATATATATATACATACATACATGCCATGTCTTCGAACGTATTTGGTTGTCTAATTTATGGTTGTATCTATCTGCTTCTGCACCACAGTGCGTACATGTATGTGGATGTGCATAGCATCCTCCAAGATGCGCGCACCTGTGTGGCCATATGCATGCGCGGCAGCTATTTTGTACCTGAATTCGTGATCATGCATACACTTTCTGCAGGTATGGTTGCATGCGTGCATGCATATCATTTACGTGTACACATGCACACATACACTTGCACCCCCGGTAAACCCCAAACCCTGAGCCCTAAACCCCTGAGGTCACGCTTCTGTTTGGCGGCACTTGTGGCCCTAAATCTTGGCCACGGCAGGCGCTGTCGACGTCTCGCTTAGTGGCATGTGCCACTCACTGTGCGAGGCGGCTGTACAATGTCAGGAAGGTTGGTTTGGGGATCAGTTCTTTAGGTTGGTTTGGGAATCAGTTCTTTAGCTTTCGACCGACAACCTTCTCTTGCCAGATTTCGTGCTAGGCTTAGCATCACATGAACACAGACTAAGACTAAGACCAAAAGCAAAATCTCACAGACCCAGAGCTCCTGAGTGCGACAGTTCCGATCCCTGCACCTAGGGCCTTGGGGGAGCCGTTCCAGTTCCCGGCCTCCTTCTTCGGTCTCTTGCTCATGGATGCATCGTAGGGCCGAGGGATGAGGGTTGAGGCTTTGTAAGGGTGTGGGATCTGGGGAAGTAGGGCTTTAAGATTTGGGGATAAGGCGTCGGCCTTCGGATTTATGGGTGCCAGGCGTTGTTTCTTTGTTTCGGGGAGGCGGAGGGGAGCCACGACAAAAGCACCTTAAAACATGCCTGCTGACAGTCATCTCTCCGGCTTCAACAGCTTCGGGGCTCGTGGCGTGTAGCGCGTAAGGAATAGGGATTTGGGCCCTTGGGGGCTGGGAGCAGGGATTTGGGCCCCCTTGGGGGCTTGAACATGTTGGCCTGCAAAGCCCAATTAAATTACTCTGTTCCGCGATCCTGTAAGGGTTAAATGCAACAGCAAGAACCATAGCAGCACGAGATGAGTCGCACTAATGCACAAGGATAGCCGTAATTTTCAGGAGTATTCTTCCAACAACAGTCTTAAGCGCTTGTACCGCGATGCGAATAGAACAACCTTCTACAGGTCTAGGAGCCTTCCAAAGCCATGCCCACGAGAGCAGAGACCCAGGAAGATGGGAAGCAAAAGCGATATCGGCCATGTTGCAGCATGCACCTTCGTCTGTTACATGCGCAGGGGCCACAAAATAATCTGCCCAAGCTCTTCTGCGACTTTGAGCTTGTCGCCTTCGACTCGAGATGGTCCCGAAACAGAGAGGCGACTCGGGACCCCAACACTGACAGAAAGCTAAAATAGGGTTTTGGGTTTAGGGTTCTACAGGCTATACCGTGGCTACATCCTTCCACCAAGCAGTGAATGGAGCCTCGCGACTACCAAGGAGCCGCTAGGGGCCCGGTCTGCGACTACACCACTCCGCCGTAGCAAAGGAAGCCGCCATCAACCGGCAAAAGGGCGCCGTTGACCATTCCTTCAGTGCGAGTCATACGCCGGCTTTCAGGATGGGACTTCATGTAGAACCTCCGAGAACTAGCTAATACATCTTAAATAATACTGTACGGTTTGGGATCCCAGAACTCAAGCTCCATGAAACGAACCCTGAACCTTCCCAACAATTCCCTAAACCTCCTCTAAACATCCCAAAACCCTACCATTCCCCTAAACCCGTAGAAAAAAAGGACACACAAAACGGTGCAAATGTCCAACGTGTGCAACACACCTTTGCTTAGGGCTTTCAGGCGTTCCTTCCACGGGTTCCTACCAGCGCACTATCAGGTTCCTCCTAGGGACGCAATGTGCGTACCACAAGGTTTAAGGTTCAACCATTATAAGAAGGCTTTAAAAACCCTTATCTTTTTTATGGTTTGTAACAGGATTCCATAAGCCCAGAGAGGATAAAGGTTATCTACTCAGCCCTGGGGGCTTCGAGCTTAGGGCTTCCATAAGGGCCCTAAGCTTCAGACTTGTTTTAAAGCCAAAGGCTCCATGTACCTTCATAGTAGATACTTCGGCCTTAAAGTACCTATATAGGGACCCCTTTAAGGTCTAAGTAGCTACACTAAAGGTACATGGAGCCTTTTTTAATGCAACAGTCGAAGTGTCGAACTACAGCTCTTAGCGCACTGAGCCAGAAGCGCAAATGTTCAGGGTTTAGGGTTTTAGGGTTTTGGTTTAGGTCTTAAGGGTTTAAGGGTTTAGGGTTTAGGGTTTAAGGTTTTAGGGTTTAAGGGTTTGAGGGTTTAGGTGTTTAGGGTTTAAGGGTTCAGGGGTTTAAGGGTTTAAGGGATTAAGGTTTAGGTTTAGGCTCAAGGGTTTATGGGTTTAGGGTTGAAGGGTTTAAGGTTCAGGGGTTTAGGGCTTAAGGGTTTAGGGTTTAGGGGTTTGGGGCTTAAGGGTTTAAGGGTTTCGGGTTTAGGGGTTTAGGGAAAAGTTGGAAACCGGGTTAAGGACCATTAGTGCTGGGATTCCCCATACATTACTCTTAGGGATTCCAACTTTTGGGCTTCTACTATATCAGAGGTTGGCGCCTAGGGGACGGCTGTGACGGTTGATGATATAAATCCTGCATTGCCCATAATAAGGAATATGCCATGCTTCCGATAATAAGGAATTTACCATACTTCCGATAATGAGGAATATACCATACTTCCGATAGTTTAGGGTCCTTAAGGTAATGCAGGATTTCTACAGTATCATCAACAGTATCATTAGGGATTGGGGGTTAAAGCTCATGGATCAAGGTGCAGGGTTTCAGGGGTCAGGGTTTTGGGCCCAGGGTTCCGTCAGCCGATAGGCTAGCAAAGCATCGACTATCATAGCCTTCCGGCACCATCCAGCATCGCACGATATCCCTAAACATTAAACCCTCCAAACCCTCCAACGAAGTCCTACGAGCACTGTAGGCCCCATGCAGGCCCTGTCAACTCCAATTAAGTGCTAAGTCGCCTTCACCCTAAACGCCCTAAACCCCAAACCCTAAAACCGCTAACCCCTGACCCCCTGACTCCCAAACTCTCCTAACCCCCTAGCAGTAGGCAAAATGCGATATCGAGGTACCACTGCGCGAGCCGTCCAGGAGGAAGGCCACGACACTTGCGATCTCCTCCGAACTTTGGGGTATACCCATAGGCCCCTAAGTAGTTCCTTTTTGGGATTACCTTATAGGATTCTAAATATAAAACATAAAAGGGAACTACTTAGGGGGGCCTATGGGTAGGGTATCGGGTTTCGGGTTGAGGGTTTCTCGGGCCTAGGGATGCCTAGGGAAGTTTAGGGTCTATAGGGGTCTTGGGTTTAGGGGGTTCATGGGAGGCCGCAACAAGGGGTGTGTCAGGGCTTAGGGTTTGGGCTTCATGGGTTTCGGGTCTAGGATCTAGCTTCGGCTTGCAGGGTTCAGGGCTTACAGGGTCTAGGGCGAGAGGGTCTTTATCTGTGGGGTCCTCTTCGGGTCTTTTGTGTGTTTCTCGGGGTCTGGCGGTTGAAACAGTTTGGGGTTACAGAGCTTCCAATCTGGACTTAGGATCTCATGAGGTCTCACACGGTTGTTTCGGGCTTACAGTATTACAACACCTTATAGTGATTAATTAGGGCTTATCGGGAGTATGGGGCTTAGGGCTTGTTGCGGCCCCTGGGGTTCAAGGGTTTAGGGACGATCCGCGGTTGGGGTTCGTGGATTCCAGGGCCGAGATCGAACCGTCGAGGGACCATAACTTAGAGAAGTGCTTCGTCGAGGGTTTATGGATGCTGCGGACACATACTTGGGACTTGATTCATGCAAAATTCCATGGCAATAT